GTGCCTTTCTTGGATTTCTGTGGGAGGGGACCCCCAGAGTGTGCACATGAGTACCGGTTTACCGTTAGTCCCATAGCCAGACCAGTTTATTCATATATATGTTGATTTCATGGTTTGTTATTAATTGTGCTGAGTATTCAGTGCCGGTCCTAGCGGAGCACCGTTGATTCCTTTGTGCTCACGCCTCCCCACTACCCTATTTTTCAGGTGATGGAGTCCTGCGTGGAGCGTGAGCCGGATGTGGTGGTGGTCATCAGTCAGGATATTTGTGTTATGTCATGTTTTGAATTGTTGAATTAATTATGCTTTATTTATGTTTCGCTTATTGTCTATTTGCCATTGATATTTGAACATATATTTGCTTCCGCACTCTAGAACTGTATTTCAGAACTTTAGATTATTTTTTTAGTATTTAGAATTTCAGACTAGTCAGTATTTTAGAATTTCAGACTAATATTCAGATTAGTATGTCAGTAGTTCAGAATTTCAAATTACTATTTCAGTATTTCAGAATTTCAGATTTGAATTAAATATTTCAAGATTTCAGACTAGTATTTCAGGATTCCAGACTAGTATTTCAGTATTTCAGAATTCCAATCTATGCATGCTTAAATCCTGAGATGTTCATGGCGCCTTAGAGTAATAAATTATACTCGGTTGCATGCCTAGTAGTTTATAAATATTACAGTTTAAATATATAAGATTAAAGTTGAGTAGCATCCCGCGTTTTAAAGTTAAAGTATTTTCGAAAAATTAAATGAGTTTTCGAAAATTAAAGCAGTGCTTTCCATTTATAGCGCGAAAAATTTTACTCTGATTTTAGTAAGTTTAGGCGGGGTGTTACAGTTGGTATCAGAGCCACTTAGTGGTTCTGTATACTGAAATTTTAGTGAGATATGACCACACCACGCTCACGCCACGCCGACTCCGAGGTACGTCACTTGTACAACTTTTATTAATTGCGAATGCATATTCAATTATAGTCAGATTATTTCAGGGGGCGTATGATCTATCCTTCGATTAAGATTTGAGAATTCTAGTCAGAACTCTAGTCAGAATTTAGAAGATTTTAGTGTAACCGGAACTCTAACCAAGCTAGGTGTTTTCGGAATTCGATAAATTATTAAAGTATAGTGTAGCTATTTATTAATCGGCTATACTGGTTTAGTCAGAATTTCAGCAGAGTCAGTTATTTGTACGCTCTACCGTTGACTTTTCACAAGGAGGAGCAGAATATACCTCTAGAATCAACCTCGATCATGTTGTGGGCAAGTACCTTTTTCTACGTATCGAGGATAGTCGTGGCGATATATTAGCGCCATAAGATCGATTTCAAACCTTAGAATTAAGACTGAGTAAATTCTACATTTCAGCAAATTCTGCCAGAAATGGCAGGACCCAACAAGCAATAGTTGATCAAAGATCAACAAGGAGGAGGAAGTGCCAGTGCCTACGCTCTTCACCAGTAGAAGCAGAAGTCCAGAGGACTCAAGAAGATGCATGTAGTTTAATTATCTCCGTTCCGTGAACTCGCAACACTTTTGTTGCGGGAATTTCTTCATACTTCGAAACTCTGTTAAAATTCAAGTTGAGACCGAAATTTCAGTGCATTCCATAATGTAAAGATCGCAAAGAGCGAGTTATTGCTATAATTTGACACTTGCAAAAGTTAGATTAATAAGTCGATGGATTGCAACACATAGATAAAGCAGTGGAGTTTCCATTGTTTGAACTATGTAAACTTTGAGTTGAGTTCTAACTCTAGAGGTTACCCTACTTGAGTTGGCAAGATGCCTTCCAGTTAGTATTATAAGTAATAGATTTTCAGTGTATAAGAGTCATAGATCCGGGTAAGTCCTGGAGGCTTGAAATAAAAGCCATAAGTCCGGGAGGAACCATGGAGGTTTGAAGCTGAACCATAGCAGACATGTTTCCATATGAGGTGATCTCTAGTAGTCAGAGAAATAGGTGACCCAGTTTAAAGGAAGCTAGAACGAAGAATCGCACGTCGAGCCATGTTTTGATATCAATACGACTTACTGATTCGTCTTGAAAGGGAGCCATCACCCAAGGAAGTTCCAATAGTATGAGAATACTCAGACGACAGTTCGCAGAGAATTTAATGGAAGCCGAGTGGGAGTTCGCAACCACCATGATTCAAGAAGGAGAACCAACTTCCTCACACGTGGAAGTTGAGATAGCATGTTTAAGAAGACGAAGACTTATAAATTTTGCATACCTGTGCCGAATGCCACAACTCTCGAGTTGGAAGTTGTGGGCAGATGGACGATATGCCGATAGGAAAATTCTAGAAGTCGTGAAGAGAGAGAGAGAGAGAGAGAAAGAGA